TTGGCAATACCAAGCAGTTCCCTGAAATGCTTCAGTTTTGTTTGATAGTGCTTCAGGAGAGTAACTTCCACTAAGTGCTGTGATAACTCAAGGCCACTTTACAAATAATTTGAAGGGGCACCTGCTGTGCTGTGCCAACACTTCATCACCAGTCAGGTGACTGTATAGTCTTATCAGGCTTTGAGCAGCTCCCTGCCTTCTGGATTAGAAGATTAAAGTGCCTGTCACCCCCTGGAATTTGAAAACTAATACCAGCTTCAAAAGCATTGCAGCATGAAGTGTAATGAGGCTCCTCAGTATCTGCAGTTCACCTCTACTTCCAGACTTGAAGACCTGGGATAGTAAACCTGCTGGTTATTTGTTGCAGAGAACTAAGTGCCTGTTTATATAAACCGGAAATACTCTGGCAGCAGGGAGCAATTTCCTCTACGTGCTAGGATTCCTATACACTTAACAACCTTGTCCTCCCTGTACTTTCTCCCCTCCACCCTCCCCCACGACCCCTCCAGTGTCCAATAGCATGCCACCTTTGATGCAATGACTGGAATTTGAAGCTCCACTGTGGCCCTCCATGGTCCACAGCCACTATTCTAGCCTTTCTTCTGATGTGAAGGAAGGTATATCTAAGGCCTTGGCTACACTTGGGACTTCCCAGCGCTGCCAGAGAACTCTCGCAGCGCTGTATGTACTCCACCTCTCCAAGGGGAATATCGTGCAGCACTGCGAGCGAGCGTGCAGCGCTGCAGGCTCTGATTATACTGGCGCTTTACAGCGCTGAACTCTCTGCGCTCGGGGGGGGTGTTTTTTTCACACCCCTGAGCGCAGCAAGTTGCAGCGCTGTACAGCGCCAGTGTAGCCAAGGCCTAAGGTGTGGAGTGGACAGGCGAAGTCCAGCTGCAGGAATATGAAGCCTAAAACTAAGCCTACTGCAAACTTTCCCTATTCCTCATTTCAGTCAGCTTATTTTATTTCCAGTCCTTCCCTGCCATTGAACCCCAGTTTGCCTTGTGCATGAACAACTTATTTTGCAGTTGTTTTCGAATCTCTCATTAGTTTTGCACTCCATACTGGGATTTATTTGACAGTGGTGCAAAACAGCACAGCAAAAGAAACGTGAGTGAGGGAACCTGGGAAGCAATAGGATGAGAGGATTTAAATCCCCACCCCGGGGGAAAAGGGAATTGAGAGTAAGGAATTTGCAACGTGATTCAGAAAAGTCAGTGGGGAATGGGCCTTCCCGAGTATATCTTTGCTGAACCTCTTACTGTCATTCCTACCTGACACAGGCAATTGTGCTTTGCAATTTAGACTAGAAAAATCTAGCTGAAGGTTTCCAGTGGGCTCTGCACCAGACTTGTGAGGCTCATCATCCTATTTCTTTTTACCAGAAATTGAGCTCTGCTAACTAGCACACAGTTGGGTGTGCTGGGCTGTATTCCATCCTTTGAGAAATGTTTAATGATCTTATTCCAAGACAAGCGTTGTAACGGTGCTGCTCCGTGTTTCTGGAGTGCCACGTAGCCTCTGGGGTTGGGTCTAGAAATAGTATCTTTTTGAGAACTCTCCACTGGTAAGCAAACCCAATGCTTCCGCACCCCCACATTCTGAGTGATAAAGCCACTTAATCATACTGTTTGTTTTACACAGAATGTCTAGTTGTAACTTCAAATTGCATTTTTTTTCCCTTTTCCAACTGAAGTCATCTGACAGCCCAGGGTCCCAGGTTTGGACTTGTCTGATTTCCTTCTCTCCCCCACCCCACCCCCACTTTTTTGCTTGCTTTCTCAAAGTGCTTGGCTTGGTTTGCCCTAAGACAAGCATAGAACAATGTTTTTGTAATTCTTCTGAGTTAATATCTGGTGAAGTTCTGGACACACTTGGTCTCCTCTCCCTTGTCAGAATGCCAAGGCTTATTTGTTTCAGTGACTGTGAATAATCCAGTGTGTATTCTAGGTTTCCTTACCTTAACAATTACTATAAGTATACAAATTGCAATAGGTAGGCACTGCATGCATTCCAGACCCTTCCTATCACTTTCCCCATTCTCATTCTATATCAGGAATTGGTTAGTTTACTTGAAACAAAAAACAGAGGGGAAAATTTTTCAAAGATTGCTAGGATCTAGAAACCATCTGTTGGACAATGGCATTCACATTTGGCACTTCTGATGAGATCAAGGTATGGTCCTGGAAAGCTAGATTGCTTTATGGTCTCTCCGTTTAAGAAAATTATGCAGAAAACCATTCATATTTTGAGATGAACCCTTCTACATATTTCCAGGAATGTTAGCTCCTCTGTTTAGGGAATACATAGCTTAATGTCTGCAATCATCATTAACTATGCACTGTAGAGAAGTGCACTTCTTAGGGCAAGATCCCTATCCTTTTGGTCTACTACTTTTCATAATGGGCAGGATTTTCATAGGGTCTAGTGATTTTTGGGTGCCCAGTTTTGAAACACCTTAAAGGGGCCTGACATCACAGAGGGTTGGTTTGTTTGTTTCTGGAAAATCAGGTAGCAAATAGAGCACCCAAAGTCACTAGTCCACTTCTGAAAATCTTGGCAAATGGTCTAAAGACTGTGTTAAGCTCCTTGGCGCAGGGACCTTGTCTTTCACTAAAACACAATGAACACTTATGCTGTTGCAAGCAATATTCGTACTCTCCTCTCCCTTCTCCTCCAGTCACCCCAAGGTAGTGGTTGATCTAGTATACCCTATATCCTTCACAACCTTAGCCGCTTCCTCCATGCTAACTTCATTGGGGGCATGAACTCTAACAACACTATTCCCAGTAAGCTAAATTTTGCTTCTGCAGCACCACCCACTGGAAATAAGGTGTACATTATTAACCATTGGAACAGCTTAACAAGGGCCATGGTGAATTCTCCATCACTGGCAATTTTTAAATGGAGTGAATGTGTTTCTAAAAGATCTGCTCTAGCTATTATATTGGGGCATTTCTATGGCCTGTGCTATACAGGAGATCAGACTAAAGGAACACAGTGGTCCCTTGTGGTCTTGAAATGTGTGATCTAGTAGCAGTAGATCAGATACAAGTCGTGCAACAGTTTTGCTGCATCTTCCACTGTCCTTCCTCTCACCTTTAACTAGTACTTGGCACAGGATAAGAATGATTTAAATACTTGGACAGGTTTTTGCAAAAATGTTGTACAAGGTATAGTAGATGTATGTCACCACATTTTTTTTAATCCGTGCTACAGTTCGCAACCTCATTTTATTATGTAACAGACTATATTACATAATAGAATGCACTGTGTATATATAAATATAAAACACTATCAGCCTTTCTGTTTTTTAAAAGGCAACATTTAATTACCAAACAACCCCAATATGCTAAACTTCTATTTTATTAAATCTTTCTGAAACCTTATGGGGATCCTGAATAGTCTCTCCTGCTTGAGACAGTGTTAATTGCAGTGGTGTATACAAAGCAAGGATTGTTTGGTGGTGAATTAAGCTCCAAAAGAAAGCTGAGGTGTTAACCATAAAGCAATTTACAGCAGGTGCACTCAGATGCCATGATCATTGTTTATTTGGCAAATACAGCACGCAGACTTTAAAAAAAAAAATCTAGTTCACCTTTCTGAGGGCTGGTGCTGTGTAATATGTTGTTGGTGTGAGGCAGAGATGACTAACTGGACACAGATTTAAAAGTGAATAAAGACTGGGGAGAAGGTTGACATATTGCATGTTATGTTAGTAGGGGTGTTTTGTATTGGAGGGAATACCTTTGAGACTTATCTGGGCTGTGGTAAGATGTGCTTCTTGACGTATAATGTACAAAGGAACACGTACCATTGGGTATCTTATGATGTAGTATTGCTGGGGTGAGGGGAGCAGAGTTGCTGACACTCGGCCCATAAAAGGGGACTCCATGCTACCATCAGAAGTGTTCTTATCAATAGTATGGCTCCTTAGTACATCTTACCTTACAAATGTGTAACTATCACTATGTTTGTGTATATACTGTAGAGCTGGAAACATTTGCAGACTTGAACAATAAGTGAAATTATAGTATTTCTGGCAACAGGCAAGCAAGCAGAATCTACCAGGAAGCACGAAAATAACTTGATGCAAATGGGACCGATCTCATGCCCTAGAATGGCTCTACAGTGTATGCCTCACATAAACACATGTATTTTATAACTATGCAAAAAACTTGCTGGAACTGTTCTGAGTGATGTGTTCCCTCAAGAGCTCTGTATTGCTGTTGGGAAGCAAATCACCGATCCCCATTATTGTGAGCTGTGGTATTTGACACTTATCAAAATAATGGTTTCAAAATCTTGGGGAAATAAGAATGCTGGTGAAATAATAACTTCTGCTTTCAGGAATGCAGTGTTTGCCGTGTATTCGTGTCCTTGTGTAATAAATTGTTCTTAAATGCATGTCAAAAATGGCTTATTCAAAACTGCTTTGAAGTAAATAGTTTCTTGTACAACAATCTCTACTACCTACTCACAACATATCCACATGGATTTCAGGCAGAAACTATTCTGGGATTGTAAGGGAGAAGTCTAGCAAATCAAGACAGTCTGAACTGACTTAAAACAGTGCGGGATGCAGCACTGAATTCTCAGTAGACTGGTTTGAAAACCAACGTGAAAGATGCACCAAAGCAGCTTTGAACTTTGTTACACTGAAATGTGTTCTAGTCTCCTCACAGCCATCTTGTCCTCTTTTACAGGTGGTTCCATCAAGGTCCCAATCCCTACACTGGTGCACAGGACTGGCTTTACTCTGGCAACTACTGGGACAGAAACTACTTTAATTTACCTGACATTTATTAAAATGTCAAAGGGAGCTCATGACTAATGCAAATTAAGTCTTAATCCTTTTTAATTTTCCTTATTTCTACTCATATCTTGGAAAAACTGACAAGTTACTGAACAGTATATTAAGCATCTCCTGCAGTAAATATGGTGGTACAGATCTGAAAGTCTATGGAGAGGGGAACGTAGACAAAACTGCTCAGAGCTGTCCTTTTTCTGATGGGTTAGTGCTATCATATTTGCTGAATACATCTATGTTAAGTCTCGGTGGATAGCAAATAGAACATTTGAAGGTGTTCTATGAATCCTTTCTTTTAATGATTATGCTGGCACAACAGCCCTTTGGGGTGGATTTATTGTGGCACAGACATGTTTAAAAGCACAGGTATGAATTGCACTATTCTGTGCTTGAAGCTAGGAGAGGGCAAGTTATTTTTGTAAAGATTTACTTAACTTTCATAAGATGGCTTCTATGAACATAACTCAAGAATCCTGGATTCTGGTCAGTGATTCCAGAACTATTATCCCCCAAATGGTCATGTTGTAGGTTACACTGGTAACATTACTCAAAGTATTTATTCCATGTTTAGTGCAGTGTTTTGAATTTGTTCTTTCATGTTTTGTTACCAACCTCATTTTGTTAAGGAATTAAGAGCCATTTAAAAGTTAAATCTGAACTGAACACTAGTAAGAGGTTTAAAAAAATCTGTTTACTGCACTAGAAACTATAGGTGCTTTGCACCATTGTTGTACAATTGCAGAAACTTTTTAAAAATCAGGACCCAGTAGAACATAACTACTGGAGAAATTAAACTGCACCTGTGTATGCACTGTACAAATGCACAAGATTTCCTCCTAGAAAGTATGGTTTGAAGTAAGTAAGGCACCTGTATGGAAACTGCTGTACACACTAGCTTTACCCCTTTAATTGGGGTGCATTAAATCTTATGGAAATACATATTTATACAGACCTGGGCTACAGAGCTTCCAGCTGCTCTTTGTATACGATTTTAATTGCTGTCTGGAGGTTAGTGTTAATTACATTAATTGCTACTAAATAAAGGCTTTCAAATGTTCCAATGCTCTGACTTCTCAGATTAATTTTTTTAATACTAGGGGTTGCATCAGCTGATCCAGGTAGATGCCTTTGCTCTATAAAGTCATCCTACTGAGTGTCCTGTGGCACCTTGTAGACTAACAGACGTATTGGAGCATGAGCTTTCGTGGGTGAATACCCACTTCGTCAGATGCCACGAAAGCTCCTGCTCCAATATGTCTATAAGGTGCCCCGGGACACTCTGCTGCTTTTACAGATCCAGACTAACACGGCTACTGCTCTGATACTTGACATCCTGCTGAGTGTGGCTTTCGGCTGGTGTGTCTGAAACCTTGCAGTTCTGGGTTCATAAAGTATGTCATGTCAGTGGTTTCCCTGGAAGAACTGTGCTCAGCAAACAAGGAAGAAGCTTTCCAACTACAGAGGCTGAATCACACTGGCGTCTCATGCATCGCTACAAGTAATCTGTTCTAGTAAAGTTGATGTCTCAAATTTTGAAGGGTTTTGCTATCCTGAAATGAGTCTAGAAACTTTTTCTTTGCCTCATTTGGGAGATATTAAAGTTTTATTGCAATCATCCCCCACCCCACCAGCCTCATGTGACACCCTTGGGTTTCAAAACCCATTAGGTCAGTGTGTGAGCCAGTGGGTTGCAACCTATTAAGTTCCAGGGAAAGGACTGTTCCAAATGTTTGTTTGAAGAGCTTACTGGATAGAAATAGAGAGAGGCATTGAGTGGCGTATGCCTCCCAGGTAAGTTTCTTCTCCAGAAGTTGATATCTACTCAAAATCCAATCTCCTAGGGATTTCCTTTATTTTCAAGCTGCGACAGAGGAGATGGAACCTGCTCTTTTTTTAAAAGTAGGAAGCAGGTCAAGAGAAGGAGCAAGCACTAGGGAACTCCCAAGGAGTAAAGACTAGGGTTCTTAAGCGAATAGATGCAGACACTAAGCAATTTTCACTGGATAATTAAAATCAGCATCTTCTCTAAACATCTGAAATCCCCCAGAAATGAGACACGTACACACCCCACCCCAGTGACCACTGACAGACTGAAATAAACTTGAGACTCCAAAGCTATAGCAAAACTAGACAGTGTCTTCCATAGCAACTCTAAGGTCTGTTATAATGGGTTTTAACTGAGCACTGGCTTCTTGTGTGGCACAGGGCAGCATCTGCAAGCCATCTAGTGAAATTTTTTTTACCCTTAACCTCATTGACCACCTCACTTATTTCTTTGTTTTGGGACATTCTAAGTATAAGGCCATTGCTTACAGAGTCAAAGCTGTGGACTTAAACTCATTGCCAGGAACAGATCTGTTGCATAAGATGTGACCTACTCTGGAAAGGGATTGTGTGGAACTAATTTGAAATTTTTGATGGATGTATGTTTACACAATACTATATGATCAACTTGTCTATTAGCTAAACATCTCTAAGAGGGCTCGGCCCCAGCCAAATGCCTCTGCTACAGCGGGGAAGCATTCTTTTGGGTTATTGCCTGTGCTGCGGGTGGGGTATTTTTACCCCCCATGGACACTTCATTATATACTTATCTTCAATAATCTGTGTTCTGCCAACACTCTGGAAATGCAAAAAGGCATTCTAATGGATTGCATTAGTTTTGAGTGCTTGTATTAAGTTAATTTATTATTTTAAGATGCAGATTTACATCCTGGGGTGTTCACATGACATCTCCTCTCAACCTGTTAAAGAAAAAGGATTTGGTTAAGTACAGAGAGCATTATGTTCTTTCTTCCCCCTAGCCCTCAAAAAACACACACACACACACTCTCTCTCTCTCTCATATTTCCAGAAGGTGGGATGTTGACTACCAGTCCATAGCAGGCAGTTGTGAAATAGGCATGAGCAGTGTCTAGGATGTTGGGAGGGCTATGTCTTCAAGCTACAATTTATACTTTCGTGCACATGCATGTACCGTGCACAGTAACCTGGGGTATAAATCTACAGTGCATGTGCCTGCTGCTTTGATTTCCCATTTCAAACATCTGGCAGAGGATGAAAATAGCAATTCAAACCTAACTACCAATCTACAGGATTTGCAAATGCCAGGTACAGAGGAGAAACCAGCTCCAAGCCTTTCTGGAGCAAGCAGTTTTAGCTAAAATTAGAAGTCGTACTGAACCTCCATCCCCTAAATTAAAGTAGTGAGTATGCCAGGTGTAGTTGCTCTACATGAGTGCATCGGAATGGGAGGAGGAATTAGGCTGTCCCAACCACTGTCAAACCAGCTTCAAGTCAAATACACTGGTGGCTAGAATGGTTAGCCAAAGCCAAGCAAGCTTAGGTTCAGTGGAAGTTTATGGCCTCAGCAACTCTGAAATCCAGGCTACAGTTTAGGAGCCTAATGTTAAGCATCCAAGTTCAAAAACTTAAACTCTGACTTTAAAGCAAAACTTTATAACCAGAGGCTGAAGTTGTGAACGTCTCCCTTGCAGACACGAGCACAATGTGAAATGGCCTACCTTCTCACGAGTCTGCTCTGCGGACTGGGGCAGAAGTAAATGTAATCTCTCCTGCTATACCATAGCTTCCTGCAAAGGGATTTATGCCTGCTTTATCACCAGCTGCTGAGCCCCTCTTTGCAGACATTACTTCGTCTAAGGGTATGGCAACTGAAAGAAAAACGGGGGTTGGTGGTCTAGCAGTTTCTTGTGCAGAATTAGAATTTGGGTTTGGAGTGGCCATTTTCAGATCTGCTGGCCTGGCAACTGGTACAGGTACTGTAGTGAATCTCCTCACAGCACTTGTGTCATGCTGTGTAAGGACAGCATGGCCAGGAATAGACTTCCAGTCCTGTACATTCTGAACTGTAGAGCCCACTAAAATGAAAGGTGGTGCATTTCCCCTCTTGCCTTCTTCCATCATCACATAAGTTGGAGAGGATACTTGTGGTGGTGGTGGACCTTGTGGTGTCAGCTGCTGTTGTAGGAATGGTTGTTGCTCCTTCCCACTAGATATATAGAGGGTTGCTTGGGGATAAGGAGCACCAGTTCCAGCAGGAGGAAGGGGTGGTGGTGACTTTCGACCTTGTTGGCTCAAATCAGTTAGACAATAGAGAGTCCACACATTAGAATATGGTGGTGGTTGTCCTGCTTCGGTTGTTGCCATTGCTATAAAATAAAATTTAAAAAATTGCTGGTATCAGGAGCTATGAATTGCAATCCTATTGCAAACTCTTACATATAACACGCCTATACTTACGTATGCCATAAGAAAGCATGTTAGAGAAGATAGATGGGGATTTTTGCATAGCTGAAGTGAAAAGAACAGCAGAAGAATTGGTGCTGGAGTTATGACCAAAGAGACCAGAGCTCTTCCTGTTCTAAGTCCCTCTTTTCAGTTGCTTAAAATGTTAGACATTTTCCTTTTGGGCTGCCAGGCCTGAGGGAGTCTGAATTACCAGCACAGGGGGAATTGCAACAGTCTGCCCCCCCTCAAAAAAAGAGTCAGTTTTGTCAAAACTTACTTAAATGTTTTGGTTTATTAAAACCAAACAGAAAAATGCATCTGGACCCAGGGTAATTTTTTTTTTTTTTTTACAGCTGGACATCCAAAGTTAGACAGCAATTTCTATTTAGCTGCCACACAAAGTACCGTGGGAGCTTACATTTTACTGCCAATGTTTTCAAAGAATAGTTTTTATAAAGAAAGTTTATCAACACCTGAATAGGGATCAGAACAAGTGTGCTGCCTCCAACCATAACTACAGCACCACTGCCACATGCTACAACATTGTTATTCCTTCATTTCAGCCATGCAAATCCCTTGGTGTTGCTTAACAAAATAATTCGGTAACGTGCTTTGATATGTCTTAACACCTCTACCTTTCCTGGGGCCTGGAAGGGGCTCAGGAGGGGTTCTGCAGTAGCAGGGGGAGTCAGGCAGGCACTTCTCACTGGAGAAGGGGACACGGGGGCGGGGGGGGGAATTCTCCAGCTGGGAGCAGGGGGTGGGCTTGGCACTTGTCACAGAGGATGGAAAGAGGGTTTGCAGCTGGGAGGAGAGTCTGCGTAGGGTACTTGTCAGGTGAGGAGTTTGTTCCAATGGCACTTCACCAGGAAGACAAGTGCCAGACCCTCTTCCCATCTGCAGAACCCCCTGCTAAGTGCCTCATCCACCCACCTCAACCCATCTGCAGAACAGGACAGTGCAGGCAACCACCACCATTTCTTTTTTAAATGCAAAAACTCTATGTTAATGCAATGGTTAGGATTTAAATCTTTCAAAGTGAGGCCACATTCAAAGTTCTGGCCTCCCCCCCAATCGACCTTCCTCAAACACAAGGCACATGTATTACATCTTCAATCTCTGCCATTGCCTCAAACTGTGTGGCTCACTTTCAGCAAGACGCTTTCAGGGCTGTTCAAAGGCAAAACACCTCCAGCTACCTTTTGTATGTGCCACATAGCACTCTGGCTCCTGGAGTAAGTGCTGTCTGCACCTCTGATGCCACAACAAATCAATTTGCAGGACCCTGTGAACACATGTTCCTCTGATGCAGGCAACACTAATCCAAGAGCAGTTATGGGTCTTACTCACAATTAGTCACACATTTTGGAACAAATTGTAGAGAGATCTAATACCTGTGCATTGGGGCCAGGCGATTGCAGAGGAAACCAAAGCTCCTTATGTGCCCCAAAGTAAGGAAGTTCAATCTCTCCCATAGCCTTGCACTGGCATAGGTTCTTGCATTTAATAATTTAGCTACTGAGTTTCAGCACTGTTAACCTGGAATATGAAATTTTCATTAACATCCGACTTTCTTACCTGACATAATAAAACCTTGCTCAGGTGATGCCATTTGCGCTGTAGTTTCCATTCTTTCCGGGTCAAATTCTGCATCATCTGCAGATGGATCTAAGATCTTAGTGCATGTAAACTGACCTGTATTTAGTGAAGGCATTGGCTGCTGAATCTCTATTAGACAAGCTACTTGTTCTAAAAAGGGAATGACTATTTGCTGCGGGAACTGCTCTATGTAAGGTGGAACCTCTCCTTCAGTAGCGGGCTCATCGTCAGTATGTATTGGCATAGCCTGAATGGTTGATGTAACCTCAATTTCGCTTTGGGAAGGCACAGCCTGTAATGGATCTTTAGGAGGTGGTGGTGGAGGAGGAGGTGGTGGAGGAGCAGGTGGTGGTGGTTCATCCTGCAAGGGGGTTGAGGAAGCTTGATCTACATCACTTGTTGATTGTTCAGCCTGACTGCTGGAGGACCCTAGGACAATGGAGGCCTGACTCTGAACCGCTGGCTCCAACCTAACAGACTCTGCAGAACCCTCAGCAGCTGGGGTAAGTGTAGCTTCTTCAGCAGCACCTTCTACTGGTGCAACTGTTGTGTCCACTGAGCTCAGAGACAGTTCAGGAAAAGATTGCACACTTGTTGCCACATCCTTCATAGAATGAACAGAATCAATGTTACCTAACATCTGTGCAGCAAGCTGTGCAGGATCTGCTGGGACATAGGCAAGTTCAGGTCCCTTAGGGGATGCTTCAGGTCCTGTAGGGGATGGTTCATTTTCTGCAAGTTCACCGTGAGTCGATGGGTATTGTGTAATTTTGCTGCTATATTCAGGTTCAGGGCCTTCGTGCAACTGGTCCTCCTCTGTGTCTGTGGATTTTTCCTTTCGTTTTGGTTCCTCAGAAAGTGGAGACACCACACTTACGTCTCCAAGGTCAGCTCTCTTTTCTGGCAGTCTATCAGTCCAGCCCTCTACTAATTAAAACAGCACGACAGTAAGTTAGAAGGTGCTTCCAACAATCTCTGCACAACCTGCCTGTTTAACACTTCATCAAGCCTTTAAAGCAGGGGTAGTCAATAGGCAGATTGCGGGCCAAATTCGGACTACCGGAGGCTTTGAACTGACGCTGAAATCTTTTCATTTATTTTTATTTTCTCTGGAGTCTGGACCTTGACTGCCCTTTGATCAAGACATTTGGAACAAAACAAAACAAAAAAAGTCTACCTCTGCTTTAAAGTGAATTTGTCAGGTCATTCTAGATGCAAGAGGTACATCAGTTTAACAGGGGATTTCTGTTTGCCTGTTATCCTGCTCCATGACTTTTAGCCTGTATGTTATGTAAAATTTTACTAGTGCTAAACCCTCTCTTTCCCCCACATCGTAGCAGCCATCTTCTTCCCCAGAGCATTCAAAAAGTAAAAAAGTAGTGGGGGAAAAAATAGTCAATAGGAAAAAACAAATCAAATACTTAACTGAGAAATTCATCATTCCCTTTGGAACCTACCTAGAGCATCAAAGCATTTTGGATTCATACAAAATACGTTGAACACACACATCACAAATCCCAATAACCTGGAGTGTTTGCATAAACCCTTCCCCACGAGTCTTACCTAAAGAAGTAGCATGTATGTGTCAGTGGGAGGCTTGGAGCAAGGTTTGGGCAGTAGAGATGGAGGGGTGGATTTTGGAAAGAGAAACAGGAAAAATGGATGGGATTTTCAGGGGTGTCAAGGTTGAAAACATGAAAAAGAGGAGAAGAGAAGGAGCTCTGTTTTTATTGTGTTTAATCTGTTGGCCACTGCACATGCAAAAATGGCACAGATGTAGATATGGGACAAAATGGAGGAGCATGGGAAACTGCAGGAAAGAGAGGTAGCTCTTGAGGGCAGGGGGAAGGAGTTGGTGTTGAGATGGTACCTAATGTCATGTGTGGATAAAATCACCCAGAGAGGTTCTGGAGAAAGGAGCAGGAACGCAGAAGAGCTATAACAAATCTAGAACCCTCTATTCATGGCAAATTTAAACTCTAATAGCAGAAACTCTCTCTAAATTACATGCTTTGACTGGCAACCCAGCTTCTCTCAATGCACACACCATTTACAACCCAGCTGCAGAAACAATAGTAGAAGATCACTTACATGTGTTTATCTCCAGGCACAACAGCTGCCCTGTGTCCTTAGCACTTTCCTTCCCTCCCTCCCCCTTGCCTTCCAAGGAGCATTTGTTCTGTGCTGGGGCATAGCTGACTAATCCTCTCAAAAAGACAGTCACCAGTTTAGGGCACAGCATCAGAGTGTGGAGGATCATTCTCCCTGTACTTAATGCCCAGGTGTGCAGCACACTGCTTAATAAATTGCATTGTTCTTACTTACCTTTCAGTCAGTCATTATTATTTGTTTTTACTGTAGCACCAAGAGGCTCCCACTGAGATTGGGGTCTGTGTGTTAGGTACAGTGTACAGACTGTGAAACAATCCCTGCCCCAAATTGCCTACAGTCTGAAAAAACAGACCTAGAGCAGGACACGAAAACAGAGCCACAGAGGCAAAGTGACTTTCCCAAAGTTGTAGCAGATAAGGGGGTAGCACTCAAGTCTTCTGATTCCTACTCCAGTATCTAGCCACTGGACCACCTGGCCTCCTGTCAATTTTTAGAAACTGAACCAGTAATAATTTATTCTCACAGAGTACCAGCCCAATCTACCACAATAGCTTTAGAGTCCTTTTAGCTAGAGCCAGGTGCATTTTCAAACCTTACTTTCTGCACAGCTCTACCAGTGATGTCACAAAGACAACTTGCAAGTCTCAGAGACCTGGTCCAGGCCTGTGGCATCATGACAAAATACTGAAGGGGGGGGGGGGGGAGGGAAGAGACCCTTAGCTTCCGAGAAGCACCCTTTCCCCTTCTCTAACAGCTGGGAGGAGAAAAGTCTGCCATTTTTGTGGCCTACGATTGAATACCTTTCCAACAACCTTCACAACTCCAGTGGGGTCACATGCAACTGAATAGAGGGGAGGGGCAGAGATGAGCAAACTGAGACAGAAGACTGGATCATAATGGAGTTGATGGGTGAGCAAAATGTCAGTTCAAGATGATGCAAACAGATGATTGATGGGTCTCCAGGCCAATAAGACAGACTAATATCTGATATGACATCACTAATACAACATCTGCTAGTACCCTACAACTGAGATTTGGCCCCTTGTGACACAGTCATGTTACAGTCTCTGCCAGAGAAATTCTTTGCTAAATGGAAATATGGCACGTCAAGTGCCAACAACAAGCATTGTGTAGATGAGACCCTAAACGAGAGCCTGTATTCCCCACTACCCATCTGCAGCACCAAAGGTGACTGTCTGCAGGGATTCCTGTATGTACTTTAGAGTCCCAGCCTGTGAGGAGTCAAAGGAAGGCATTTGACATCTCATAGAATTAGGCCCATACTTTGTAAAGGCACATTGTGATGACAGGTGCTAAATAATGTTAACTTACTATTAATAATGAAAATGGTCAAAAGATCATTTAAAGGGGATTGTTCATGACCATGCAGGTTTGAATGCTTTCTTATCATCATAATATACTGTATTTTAAAACATAGTATCATAATAAGAGCAGCATTTGACACCTTTCTTACCTCTAGTGAAATGAAATTCTCTAATCAGGTCTGTTATATCCAAATTAGGATTTTCTGGAGGTAAAAGTATAAATTAAGATGGACAGTTTGATTAGCATTCTGCAATAACACAGCTTTTCAAATGTACGGAATGTGTATCACAGCGTATAAGCAGGAACAAACCTTCTCTAAATGCAATTAGCTCTCTGAAGTAGAGAGCTGCAAACTCAGTGATATTGCTTGGATTGGTTTTAAGAACAGCTCTGCTCACTCCCTCGAGTAAAGTCTTGAGGCCATATGGAACAACAAGCCTGGGCTTTGAAGAATGCATCTTCGTCAACTGGAGACAAATTACACTCTCACAACTAAAAGGAAAAATATCTGAGTAAGTACTGTGTGTAGCCCACTAGGGTTCCCATAATACACCTGTCTATTTCCAGGCTTTATCACCATGGCAGATGATGCTGATTTCTCCTGGGCCTTCTCAATCCCCAAGACACACTAACTACCAATGGGTTTTCTGTCCACTGTAACAACATCTACTAGTTCAACAATGTCAATTTCCTCGCAGTTTTCAAATGCCCAGACGATCCCCCACTCCCTTTCCCACCCCCAAACCCGAATGACCGTTCAAATGTGTGGCTCAAAAAAGTTCAGCCACTGCCCAAAATGAAGTCAGCGAGTTCCCATTAAAGCACCAGCTCTCAGGGACATCACCGGTTTCTTAAGCAATTTTGAATTCTTAAACTTCTGTTTGGGGTTATTTTAAACATCATTTAGCCACTAATTGTATAAATCCAGATTTTACAAGACACTGAGCTAAAGCCTTGTCCTCGGTTCCCCCGTCTGCAAGGTGGGACTAGCACAGACATCGCTGCAGGGCTGGGAGATCCCTGGTGAAAGGGGCGGCGTTACACCCAATGATTAGCTAATCGCTTCCTCAGTACCCGTGGGTGGCGTGGTCCGTCGCCACCCCGCGGCTCAGCTCGGCCAGGCAGCGCCCCGCACAGCCGGGACCGGCTCCGCCGCACCTCTGGCGCTGTGGGCTCACGGGCTGCCCCGGGGTTTGGTCTCCGGCTGGGACACGCACCCCCCGTCCCCGGGAATGGAATTGAACAAACTAGGGGCGAAATCGGGGCTGCCCGGCCCGTGCTCCCCCGCCCCGGGGCGCAGGTCTTGCCACCTGCGGAGAAGCCCTTTTCCTTCCACCCTTTAACCTGCCCCCCATCAACCGGGGCGGGGGGCAGCGGCTCCAGCCCAGACCTTTGCGCTTCCAAGGCTGCGCGAGCGCTTCCTCCTCCGCCTCCCTTGCCGGAGCCTCCTCTACAGGGGGCCGCAGCAGGCGGGGCCTTTTATAGGTGGGGGGTCGTGGTGGGCGGGGCCGGGGAAGGTGACGGAGTTCCATTTGTGAAGTCACAACACCTTCTCCGCACACACCTACCCAGGCAGGGTTGTCACCAATGGAGAGGGGCGTGGCCGCCACTGGCTCACAGCCAATGAGAAACGGGGATGCCCCACCGCTTTCCCTGGAGGCTTGGGTTGACCCTCCAGCTGTTAGCAGCTGGCTTCAGGGCACAGGTGGAGGCTTGTTGGCCCGCTACTCCCAGAGCCAGGCTTCCTTACTCTCCACACCTGGGAGAAACTGGCAGACTAGGGCGAGCTTCGTTTTTCCTTCCTTTCCACAATCGGTATCAAGCTGGGTCTGGGTTACCTAAATACTGTCTGAAAATAAATGCTTGATAGATAAATGACCTCCTCCAAACCAAACTAGAGGTCATAGAATAGATCAGGGTTGGAAGGCTCAAAGCAGGACCAATCCCCAGACAGATTTTTGCCCCACAGCCCTAAATGGCCCCCTCAAGGATGAACTCAAAACCCTGGATTCAGCAGGCCAATGCTCAAACCACTGAGCTATCCCTAAGGTTTTCCTTGCATGAGGCGAGGTGGGAAACTTCTGCCGTCAGGAGCTTTGACATTTTTATGCCAGTATAAATGTCCCCCACTTTACTCTAATTTTTGAAAGTTTCAGAAATGCCAAAATTTCAAAACTAGCAGCAAATCGCACCTCGATGAGGCTGCTGCCTTAGGCTTTTTCCTGATTCTAAATTGGAGCTTTTAGGCAGAGCGGTGCTAGCCCAGTGGGGGCCCGAAGCCAGAATATTCTCCCCACACACATAATACAAAGCTGCTCAGGGCCCTAAGCAATAGCTTAGTCTGCTTATGCCTAGTGCCTGCTCTGCTGTTAGGGTTTCATGTAAGCAGGAGGAAATGCTGCAGAGAATGAATTGGAGTAGTGACTATTAACCAGGATTGGATTAGCTCTTTCTTACATAACTCAGGCTTTCACCTTTGAACAACATTAACTATTTATCTGAGAAACTAAACATACCAAGGTTTCTCATCCCCATTGCATATACAGTAAGAGGAGAGGAGAAAAGAGAGGGGAGTAGTTAAAACAGATTGGAGATTTTGCTACAGTAGATTTCACTCTCCTTGACTCTGAGACTGTCAAAGTCAGCATAATCCTAAAATCAGAGTTAGCGGTGTGCTAGCCTTCACTGCCCTCAGACTTTCCACTTTGCGCTGGGTCTAGGTGGGACTCTGTCCATAATGTGACCCGACTAGTGAGTTCAGATCTGACTTGCTTCAAGTTGGAGCCCAGACTGTCTCTAACATGACTGCCTCTGTACCAGGCTCCCAAACCAAATTTCCATGTCATAAAGGGCAACTTATTTTCTGGTTTGTTTGTAGAAGCAGAAGACAATCCATTATATACAAGGGCTTTGCCAGCCTCTCTCACTATCTTAGGGCTTGTCTTCATTGCAACAGTTAATTCTGGTTGAATTAGTCCAAGTTACTCCTTTGGCACTAGTTCAAGTGAGCAGCCACATGGCCAGTGATTTGGTTAGCAGAGTAATTGGATGAGTAGTTGAGTTGTAACTCAGCTGCTATAACCCCACTGCATTACTAGCTTGAGCCGAGTGCTTAATTTGTAATGAAAGAGTTGCTGGGGCTCAAGCAATTTTTTTACTTTCATAACTGACATGGCAAGCGCAGAGGTGCCGGGGCTCTGAACTGCCAAGCCTGGAGGTGCTAGGGTGCAGCCCTGGCAAAAATTAAGCACTGCTTCAGCATCAGCAGCACTCAAGTCCACCCCAGCCCTGAAGGGCCAGTTAGCTCAAAGCACCACTTAACTTGAGCTAGAAAGTTGTGCATGGATGGGGGTTGGGTTAGGACTGGGGTAGGCAAACTATGGCCCACAGGCCGGATCTGGCCCCTCAGGGCTTTGGATCCAGCCCGTGGGATTGCCCCCCGTGGTCCCGCGCCGCTCTCAGAAGTGGCCGGCACTGCGGCCCCCAGGCAGGGAGACGGCAGAGGGCTCCATGCTTTGCCTTTGCCTCCAGGCACCATCCCCCACAGCTCCCATTGGCTGGGAACCCGGGGCCAATGGGAGCTTCGGGGGAGATACCTGGAGGTGCAGCAAGGGCAGCACACAGCGCCTTCCTTCCACTCGCCCTCCCCCAGGGGTCCCAGCGCTTCCTGGAGCAGCGCGGGGCTGGGGACAGGGCAGGCGTGCAGGGAGCCTGCCCTGGCCCCGGTGCGCGCTGCTGCCACCCCGAAGCTGCTTGAGGTAAGTGGTGCCAGGCCAGTGACCGAACCCCTCCTGCATCCCACCCCCTAACTCCCTGCCTTAAGGCCCCTGCCTGCACCTCACACCCCTCCTGCACCCCAATCCCTTGCCCTGAGCCCCTTCCTGCACACCGCACCACCTCCCACACTCTGCACCCCGACCCCCTGCCCCGGCCGTGGATCCAATTTCCCCACCCAGATGTGGCCCTCAGCCCAAAAATTTGCCCACCCCTGGATTAGGGACAAAACGTGCGTTATAGCTCAAGTGAAGACAAGCCCATGGAGCTTTATTTCATGTTCCTTCCTCCCCCGCCCCCCCCCTCCATTCTGGGTGCTGAAGGAGTTCTGTAGTTTCAATATCCCATCTATATAAACTACAGATACATTTACACTATGTGGATTATAATGGCATAGCTACATAGTACCATAGTTATGCCAGAGTAACTCTAGTGTAGACACAGCCTACAGCAATGGATGGGGTTTTTCTCTCTCTGTAGGAACGCGCGCGCACACACACACACACACACACACACACACCCTGAGCGATGGTAGGTAGGCCAATAGAAGCTTCCTTCCCTCAATCAACCTGCATTCACACCAGGGGTTAGATTGGCATAGCTATCATGCTCAGAGATTTTTCATACCCCAGAGCACCATAGTATGTTGACTTACATTTTAAGTGTAGCACAGGCCTACATTTTCCTAACAGCACACACTGAATCGCTAGCAGGCACTTCCTCATTGCTCCTTTAGTAGAGAGTAAAACAGGAAGTCTTTGGATCACTGTTTACATCAAAACCAGCCTGTAGTGACAGGGTGGTTTTTTTTAAACCTATCATAGATTAGGATGCCCAAACGTTGCTAGCAATTTAGTCTAAGTTGTATATTTCATTTCAAAAACCTCAAAGTATTTTAGTGCCATTAAGAAAGACAAACATTTGAAGCAGGTCATTATTTTGTTGCTTAAAGCTCTTTATAAAGTTTAAATACAATATATTAAACTCAGTAGGAATTCATTCACTAGTAACAGATCCAACCACATACTGTAATTTTATTACTGTTGTTTCTGGTCACGACACCTACCCATAGGGGCCTGGATTTTGAAACTTTACTGAATGTTAATAGCCTTGAAATTCATCTTATTTATTTCAGACCATTTCTCCAGTTTGTCAAGATAATTTTGAATTCTAATTGCTTAATTTGAGTTTCTGAAATGGATTATTAAGGCACTGAAAGGGAAAATTCAACTACCTCATAAGCTAACTTCTGAAAAAGACCTACATAGCTAAAATATATGCATGGCATACAAGATTCTTCATGAAAACTGAAAAGTAGTAATTACACACCTTCTGTTGTACTCTTGGGTCCTTATATCTGCGATCAGGCTTGGCTAGAATTGCTATAGCTCTGAGGTTCTAAGCTGCTGGATGCAGGGGTGGTTGATTTGCGCCATCTCTGATGAAGTACTCAGGCTGCCTAAAGCGATCAGTTCCTTTTGAATGAGAGGTAAAAATATTCCCCTAGCAAGAGCCAATAAAAAATTAATACAATGTCACAGAACTTACAAATTGGTGTGTAGGAAGGTCTAGACGTGGTAATCCACTGAGAAGTGTACTGTTTGAAAAAAACCCTATCACATAACTAATTACCTCTTCACTAAAGAAACTCCTCTCAAAGGCTTCTCACTCTTGGACAATAAAGACCTGGACTACACAAAAATAACCATGTTAAAATATGAAGCACTGGTATAGTACAATTGTTGTAGGTTTTCTTGCCATGAACAGAAAAAACCCAAACCAACTAAGGTTGGGGCTATGTTTTAACCTTGGTAGATACCTAGGTTAGAACATGCTTTCCTGGCACAGTTATAGCTTGTTTATGTCCATGCAAACAAGAAACAAAAACACATCTGGGCCCACAATCATGTTTCACAGCTGTGTTTTAAACATCGTTGTTGTAGTAAAGTGAGAGATTTTAAATTTCCAAGTACGTCTCTAAAAGAAAAAAGTCCAACTACTGAAACAGGCAGCGAGAAACAACGAATAAAGTGAACAGGCCATGATTAATAAGATTAACTAGATTTATTTTCACATATGGAGAAATAAGATATCTTAAAAGTCTAATAGAGGACTAAAATAATAGATAAATAAAATTCATGGGGGTGGGAGGTAGGACAATTAAGGTAATCCCCTGCCTGGCAAAGCAGTCTACGTATGGATTCCAGTTTGGAAGCCAAATCTAAGCAATAGGATTTAGTATGCAGAAAAGACCACAATGGCTGTTTTACAAGTGTCCTGGATGCACCTGCCTCCTACAGCAGAGACTTTGACATAACTTTCAAGTTCCAGGTCTGCAAAGCTGTAAAGTGAAATTTGCAATCAACTGATGTTTAAACATAGTCCTCTTGGAAAAAGCAAAACTTATTAGTGTCGACTGAAACAAAAAGCTGGGTGGGTTTTCAAAGACCTTCAGTGCACACCAAAGGCTCATCTGTATTGAGCTTGAGAAGACAGCTTTTCCAGGTTGAGAATGTGTAGTGAAGGGGAAAAAGTTGTCTGGGTGACTGATTCATTTATGTAGAACTCCATTACCACCTTTGGAAGGAGCCTAGGATAAATCCACATCACTTTTAATTGAAGAGTTTAGTATAAATTGGACCAGATATTAGGGCCTGAAGTTCACTACTACATGATGAAGTTCCTGCCCCCAGAAAAATGAACTTCAGTGTAAGAAACTTGAACTCACAGGTGCAGAGAGATTCAAAAGTATCAGCTTAGTTAAGACAACATTAATAGCCTATAATATAGAGGCTATTTAATAGGAAGGGTTTCAGCTTATCAAGCCCTAATGAACCTGACAACTTGACACTGCAGAGAAACTGGTCTATTTTCAGTATATTAAATTAAAGAACAAAACAGCAGCCAAATGGATTTGAAGTTGTCTTTAACACTGACCCTAGCAAATGAAGGCGGCAAATGAGCAGTTTTTGTGGGGGGCATGAAAAGGATCCTCAGATACCTATTGCAACCTGTAACTAAACCTTTCTTACTTGTAACTTTTGACAGATTCCCTTGAGCAATTAGGATGAGATGAGACACCTTTTTCAAAAACACCAGAGTTTTAGAGACTTCTACCTTGTCAGGAGTCATGCTCACAGGGAATGGTATCCTAAGTTGGAGTGTAAAGAGGTGTGTTGGGTCTGTGTGATCAGATCTGGCAAGTGTCTGAACCTAAAAGTGTCTGCCCCCCACCCACCCCTAAGTTGGGAACCATATTTGTCTTTGCTGGTAGAAGCATACAAGGATTTTCCCATTTGTGTCTCTTGTATTTGGTTTGGAATTTTACTACAAATGGCATCAGAGGATGGAAAAGGAATCTGTTTCCAATACATTTAGGCTTGAAAGGATTAGATTTTTATCCAGAAATGTCGACAAATGTCAATTTCACTGTACACAAACAAACCAACTAAACATTATTTCCATTCATAATCAAAATTTACAGATAGTAAAAGTAGGAAAAGTGCTGCTTGAAAGCTTATTATTTAGGGATATTTACTTTGTATATTTTGACATATGCTGTTGACAATCTCAACATCTACAGTCATTAAATAATTATTGTCTGACATCCCCATAATTTCCTGCAACTGTGAATGTTTACATTGATAAAAATAAAAAAGCTTAAAAATAATCAATATTATCTGTTTAAATTATAAAAATAATCAAATTCTGCTAAGCCTAAATATATTGCTACTGACCAGTGTAGAGCACAAGCTGCTGATAATTGTCCAAAGGTGATATGACCAGGTCTCTCTCTCCTATCCTACTCCTAAAGACCCAATTCACTACCTCCTCACTCCTTGATTCAGGAACGCTACAATGAGTCCATTACTGATCATCTCCACCTGTCAATAGCTGTCAGAAAGGGAGCCATTAAGAATGTTTCATGGAACCCTGCACAATCCCACATCTATGGGGCTGTCACAGGACGCTTAATTGTAGCTTGTATAAACCATGGTGGCCTGGTTGTCTGCCTGAATCATGACCACCCATTTTGGGATATCAGCAGTTAAGCAAGTGATCAGGGCCTCCTCACTAATTGCTGTACAGGTGCTGGGTTTGGGAGGGGAAAATCCTGACATGGCCTCTCCACCCTGGGCAAGCTGCATCTGTAATTACAACAATGTGAATTGGAGAATCCTAATTACAGTTAATGAAATACTTCTAGTCTAGCAGTAACTAATATTTTTAAATTAGCAAAAGGTTGGATAACTTATATCAATGAGTTTTAAAAGAATTAGCTAAAAAACTTGATTGGTGATATTTAAGAAATTTTACAACACTGGGGAAATTCCAGAGTACTGGGGGGGAAAATTGTGCCAATATTTAAAAAGGATAATCAGGATGACCTGGGTAACTATAAGCCAGTTAATCTGACATCAGATTTGGGCAAAATCATGGAAAGGTTGTTACAGGATGCAATCAGTAAGGACCACCACCAATCAACATGGGTTTATGGAAATTAGATCTTATCAAACAAATGTGATAGTTTTTTAATGAGATTATATGTTTGGTTGATAAAGGCAACTTGATATAATATACTTAGACTTTTTAGTACTGCTTGATATTCTGATATAAAAAATTAGTACTATGCAAAATCAATGTAGTACATAGTAAATGGATTAAACTGGCTAACTGATAGATCTCCAAAAAGTAACTGTAAATAGCAAATCACCATCCAATGGAATGTTTCTAGTGGAGGCTCAGAGGGATCTGTTCTCAGCCCAAGGCTATCCAATATCTTCATCAATGTCCAGGAAGAAAATATAAATTCAA